CACTGGTTTTGTACAATATTTATTGCTGTTGTTGTGTGCCTTCAAGTCGCTTCTTATTTATGGGGATTCTATCATGGAGTTTTCTTGGCAAGATCTGTTCAGTGGGGGTCATGCCATTACCTTCCTCTGAGGCTGAGAGAGTGTGACCTGGCCATGGTCACCCAGTGGATTTCCATGGCCAAGAAGGGATTTGGACCCTGGTCTCCAAAGTCATAGTCCAAAGCTCAAACCACTACACCACAATGGCTTTGTAATATATTTATACTGCATCCTCTATCAAAAGATTTCAGGGTAGCTTCCAAATAACATAAAGAGAAGTTAAATATCATAAAACAATAAATAATAAAGATAATTTAAGTAAGCTGAAAATATATTAAAACACCAAAATGAGTTTAAAACAGACTTTAAAAATTTAAAAGTTTTTTCAAACTATGTTCAACCACCAATTGATTAATTGCACGGGTAGATTTTTACTGATTTCCTTGTTAGCTGTCGTGGGTCCCAATCTAGGAAAAAGGTGACATATAAATAAATAAAATAACAAATACTTAACATTTGAGATGAATTAAGGAGGCCCAAAGGCCTTGATGAACTGCTGGGACTTGAGGAGGCTTATGCAATGAGAAGATATTATCGTAAAACCCCACATAGTTGAAAACAAATATGCTGTTATTAAAAATGGCATTGGATTTTTAATTTTGCTTTATATCCAAACACAGAAGAAGAAAAAAACATACAGTTGAAGGAAAACAACAAAGGCGAAAAGAATACTTGATTCATCCTCAGACCAACTCTCTTCCTCTTTCTGCTAAATCTTTTAAGTTAATGAGTCCCTTTGCAGAGGGGATTATAACATCCTGAATCCTCCAAGCTTTGCAAGTCAGAGACCAACTCTGAGATGATGACATTTGTATAAACAACTGCCCATCCCATCAAAGAAAGACAAGACAGAGCAATGGGTCCTATTTCCCTCCCCTGTTCTTCCCATAATTTCTTTTAGATAGCCAAAACACAAACAAACAAATAACCAAAACCATTTTTTTAAAAGGTCTCTGAAGCTTTGTCTGCATTGACTAAATACCCCCAAACTGCCCCCAGCCTCATCACATCCTATTTATACAATGAATCAGGTCCAAACTGTCTTCACCTAGATACCCAGACCTTATTTGGGGTTTCCACCTCCTAACTCAGAAGGGATCTAGGAGCCCTAGTAGACTACAAGTTGGACTTCCAAAGTGGTGGAAGTTCTGAAAGCCATCAAAGTCCTATGGGGAGGTAGCTTAGGGAACTGGGTATGTTCAGCCTGGAGAAGAGAAGTTAAGAGGTGATATGATAGCCCTGTTTCAGTATTTGAAGGGGTGTCATATTGAGGATGGAGCAAGCTTGTTTTCTGCAGCTCCAGAGACTAGGACATGGAGTAATGGATTGAAGCGACAGAGATTCCACCTAAACTTCAGGAAAGACTACCTGACGGTAATTGCTTCTGACAGTGGAAGATGCTGCCTCGGAGGGTGGTGAAGTCTCCTTCCTTGGAGGTTTTTAAACAGAGGCTGGATAGCCATCTGTTGGGAGTGCTTTGATGGTTTATTCTTGCATGGCAGGCGATTGGACTAGATGGCCTTTGTAATCTCTTCCAGCTCTATGATTCCCTTATTCTAATCCAGGGGTTGGCAACTTTTTTTGCCAGTGGGCCAGGAGGGGGGGGGAATGGGGCTGGAGGCGCACGCGCATGCGCACGACTCCCACCATCATGCGCATGCATGCGTGCATGGGGGGTGCCATTTTGGACACCAAAATGGTGCCCGCGCTTGCGCGCGCATGTGCTCAACGGCAGGACACCATTTTGGAATGCCCAATGGCGCCGTCGCCGTTTGGCGTTCTAAAATGGCGCCCGCTGTCGTGCGCATGTGTGCGCGAGCGCAGGCGCCATTTTGGAGACCAAAATGGCACTTGCACGCATGTGCAGTGGCAGCGGCGGCGGTGGCAGGACTGGGTAGGGGCTGGCCGGAAGGCCTCGGCTGGTCGGGTGCAGCCCGCGGGCCGTAGGTTGCTGACCCCTGTTCTAATCCTCATTTACTTAACTCACTTTTTGTTGCAAGTTTTCTAGTCTCGTTGCTGTGGTGATGGCGGTTGCCTTCTCTCATGTGGTCCTGAGGTACCCGTTAGCTCCATCTATATGGGCACATCACTCTGAGCATCATTACCATGGTTGGGCGCTTTATTCTGGCATCAGAATGACATGCCTGCAGTGGCGGGAGCAGAAGGTGGCTTGGAAGCATTTGAGTGCCACTGTCTTGTCTCTGCAAAGGGAGCTGAGCCACCCATCGTCACCACAACTTGGGACCCCGTGAGTGAAGGCAGCATCGTCAATGAGAAGCAGATTAAACAGCAAATTTGGGATATCCTGGAGCAAGGTGACCAGATACCATAACTATAAAAGAGTACAAGGCACCATGAAATGTAGCACATACAGTCAGCTCCCTGTATCCACTGATTCTTCTCCCACGGATTCAAGCATCCACAGTTATCCACACTTATACATATATACACATTCTAAAATTTAAATCTTGATCTTGCCATTTTATATGAGGGAAACCGTTTTACTGTGCCGTTGTTTTTAATGGGACTTGAGCATCCACAGATTTTGGTATCCATGGGAAGTTTTGGAACCAAACCTCAGTGGACGTCAAGGGATCCCTCTGTACAAGAAAAATGTAGAACATTACAAAATAAAAGCTAAAAACACTAATATAAATATAAATTTCATATGGTTTATTTACATCCACATTACATATCCTTTATTTTATTATGTACTCAATCATATTTTTCTGATGAACTTATCTTTGTTAAAATGCCTTGTTGGTTTGCAATATATTTATAGAACTCTGAGCAAGACAAATGCTTTAAAGTTGTGATTCCCAATAAGTGTTTTGGACTTCAGATCTCAGAAGCCTTAGCGATCTTGGCCAATGGTCTGGGATTCTGGGAGCTGAAGTCCAAAACACCTGGAAGGCCAGAGTTTGGGAATCACTATTTTAAAGTGTACAGTGGGTCTTTGTTATCCGCTGGGGTTTGGTTCCAGGACCGCCCATGGATATCAAAATCTGTGGATGCTCAAGTCCCATTAAATACAATGGTGTAGTACAGGGGTAGGCAACCTTTCCCCTTTAAGGGCCGAAGGACTTCAGCTCCCAGAATCCCAGGAGCTATTGGCCAACATGGGACTATTGGCCAACATGGCTGAGGTTTCTGGGACCTGAAGTCCCTCGGCCCTTAAAGGGGAAAGGTTGCCTACCCCTGGTGTAGTAAGATGATGTCCCTTGTATAAAATGGCAAAATCAAGGTTTGCTTCTTGGAATGTATATATTTTTAAAATATTTTCAAACTGTGGATGCTTGAATCCATGGATGAAAAAAATCTGTCCATATGGATTGCTGACTATACTTTACTAGCAACAAACGCTTGACTGAATCAACATTTAAATTCTTCCTTGTCCATTGTGCTGAAATTAAGAGAAAATGTTCGACTTTTGCATTGTATTGTCAAGCAGCCCACTGCTTAACAGGTTTGCTATCCTTTTCCTCTCCAAGAAATAAATGTACCCCAAGCTCTGGATGCAAGACTGGACAAATAAAGGACTTTAGAAGGATCCATCCTATCCCCCTATTTGCACTGAGGACAGGCTGCCAAAAGGAAACTGCAAATATGATGTTACTCAATGGGCATCTTAGTTATGCTCTATGTGAATGACATTTTGGAATTCCTCCTACAGAAGGTTGAAATGTAGGACATGTCATGGAAAAGGAGGATCTCAGATCGCCTTGCCCTGGAGTATTCTTGTGTAGAGGAACTCTTAGAGAAAAAAACCCCACATCTTTTTGAGTCTGGAATGAAGGTGGTTTTGCATATCTTTTCCCGTGGAAGAAGCCTTTTCTGTCTTTGCCGCCGCTCTCTCTATTTAAGCCTGGGTGCTCTTCTCCATCCATCTGCCTGTCATGGAAAAGACCTGTTAGCCAGAACTGTGTCATTTAAAAAGAAAAGTCTGTTTTGTCCAGGTGTCAAGCATGACAATGGAGTTTTTAAAACACTTGCATTTTGGCAGTAATCACAGCTTAGGGACTGAGCTCAGATAGGTGTGAAGAAGGGCTGTGATAACCGCAAGGAAATTCTCCCATTAAGGAAAGGAAAACATTGACGGTATATTGCTTACTCAGACTTGGAAATGTGGAACGGTGGAAGAATGGATGGGCAAGATTGCTGCGTTTGCCCAAATGGCCAAATTAATGTGGTTTCTAAAAAATAAACCTCTTGAAGACATTTTGAAAGATTGGAAACTGTTTATGGACTTTATTGAGCAATAAGAAATCTAACAATGTACTAATCTGTGGTTATGGTTTTTAGTAATTTTAGTAGGATTATTTAGTTGTAATGGTAGAATAATATTTCTCCTTTTTTATTTTTATTTTCATTACAGTCAAGATGGGGGGGGGGAGTGTCAAAGTCCTACCTTTCATTAGTTGTACATTGGTCCCTTGGTATCCAATGGGGGTTGGTTCCCAAATCTATGGATGCTCAAGTCCCATTACATACCATAGGATAATATAATAGTGTCCCTTATTTTTTTTAAAAAAAATGGAAAATCAATGTTTGCTATTTGGATATTTGTGAGAGGGGATATTTTTGAGCTGTGGATGGTGGAATCCGTGAATGCAAGGATCCATGAATAAGAAGGGCTAACTGTATTCTTTTTTTCTTTGTTGTGCTTCTCTCTCCCTCCGGTTTAAATTTTAAATTGACCCAATGCTATTGAATCCTGGGATTTGCAGTTTGATGTGGCACCACAGCTATCTGACAGAGAAGGCTCAATATCTCACAGAACTGCAAATCCCAGAATTCCATAGCATGGAGCCACAGCAGTTAAAACAGTGTCACACTGCATTAACAATATGTAGAATTAAAACCATTTAAAATTCAATCAAATTTAAGAAAGAATAAGAAAAGCCAGTGTGGTGTAGTGGTTTCAGTGTTGGATTATAACTCTGGAGGTTAGGGTTCAATTCCCCACTCCACCATGAAACCCGCTGAGTGACTTTAGGCAAGTCACACACTCTCAACCTCAGGGGAAGGCAATGACAAACCTCCTCTGAACAAATCTTGCCAAGAAAACCCCATGATACATTTGACTTAGGGTCACTGTAAGTCAGAAATGACTTGAATGCACACAACAACAACTACAACAAATTGGACCATTTAAAATTTCTGAACATTGAAAACAGAGAAAGGGGCCTTGGTTTTTATTTGTTTTCTCAAGGAAATGCAAACAGTGCCTGTACCTTTTTTTGAGACATGTGAACATGTAAAATGTGGTTTTTTTTAAAACAAAATTTTCTTTGTTTTATACATTTTCTTTACAGCCTCTCCATCCAGTTCAACAGCTCCACTAATACGCAATCCAAACAGCTATGTTGTCTATGAACGTAAGCCAGGTAAAAGTCTATTTCTTGTCACATGCTCTTTGGATTTAAACTCTGAAATTGCTGTTTCCCTTGTCCAAAGAACTTTGCATGTTCAGCCAACCACAATCAGTTGTATACGATGTCCTTTTGAGACAACTCTAGTTCACCCAGGTGGCTGTTAGGAACATAGGAATGCTCCTTAGAATCAAGCCAACAACACGATCTATATCAGGGATATCTGCAGAGATCTTGTAGCACCTTTGAGACTAAAGAAGTTGGCAGCATGACTTAAGTCTACTTTCTCAGATGCATTTGGTGGAGACCAAACACATCTGAAGATGTAAACTTAAGTCTAGAAAAGCTCATGCTGCCAACATCTTTCTTTCGGTAAATCTCAAAGGTGCTACAAGATCTCTTTCCATACTGATTTTATAGACTAACATGGCTATATCTTTAATTTTTTTTGGGGGGGGGTATCTGCAGCGGAGGTGTGCTTTCCAGTTTTAGACACATCCTCAAGTTTTCTTGCTAAAATAAACCAGTGATGGTGGTGTTTCCTCTCCCTCTTTCCTTTTTTATGCTGTTTTGGATAAGCCTTTGAAAGGGTTTTGTTGGGGATAGAATGTAGGTAAGGCAATTTACCAGTCCAGATGAAAGTGGGTTGGCATTTGGGGGCATTTGGTTTGATCTGGGGCAAAAGGATCACCTGGAAAATATAATTGGATTGGGAGAGGGCATTTGGATGGTCAAGGAGGTTGTAGGCACAGAAATGCTCCTTCAGGTTGCAGATTCTCCACCTTTAGTCTAAATTGATTTACTTGCCAGAAGTGGCTCTTTCATTGGAAAGCAGGACTGTCATTAGAAAAGCAGATGATGCTGGGGAAAGTGGAAGACAATGGGTGAAGAGGAAGACTCCGCCGGGCCGGGGGGGGGGAATGGTATTTTCCAAAATGGCGGCTGCAGCTTGTTCGTGCATGCGCAGGAGTATTGCGCATGCACAAATGAGTTGCGGCTGCCATTTTGGCAAACAAAATGGCAGTCACGACGTGTGTGGCAGCGGGGGTCGGTGGCGGCAGGGGCCGGTCGGCAAGGGCCGGCGGGCTGGGTGTGGCCCGCAAGCCGTAGGTTGCCGACCCCTGACCTAAAGATTCCTAGAGAGAACATATTAATCAAATCCATGAATAATCAAATCCGCAAAAATCAAAGCTGCAAATATGGAGAGTCAACTCTATTTCTAAAAATAGTGCTAGGGAGTGAGTCTAGAGGATTCCTTGGATCTTAACTCATCTTCTCTAGCTTAATTACAGCTTTGCTTGGCCTTGAATAGCTCTTGGTTTGGTCTTAGTTTGATCCCATTTTTGGAAGGAGGAATCAGGTATATCTAAAAGAGTTTCATCATTTCATCTGTTTGTTGTGTAAGCACCTGGCTAACATGAAATATAGCTGCAAAGGGATCTTGTAGCACCTTTGAGACTAACTAAAAAAAAGAACCTGGTAACATGAGCTTTTGTAGATTTGAGTTTACTTCTTCAGATGCATGGAGTGGAGAATCCAGGGACAGACCTATACATTCAGGCTTTCTGTGAGAATAGCAATAGAAATGGAAAACTTTTGGGTATGGAGATGTGGTGACATGTCACCATTGGTATTATTTTTTTCTTTAGGAGAAGACCTCGTTCTCCACTGTGAGGTCAATTTTACATTCCTGAAGGACTCCCCCCAGGAGGTCTGGTGGACAATTGATGGAAAGAACACAGATGAAATCACAGACCTCAAATTCAACGTCTCCCAGAGGTAAGCGCCAATGATCTCTCTGATGTCTAAGATGGAGAAGAGGTTGCTTAATACAGCATGCATGTGCAAGCGGTGGAGGAGGTACAAATCATCAGTAGCAACAGAAGGGGCCACAACTGAAATTCTGGGAGTCAACACAGGGAGAAAGAGGAAGGTGGATTAGGGGCTCTGTTCTGTTCTTTTATTTATAATCAGCTTCTTTCACCAAGTTAGATCTCATGGTGAATAATAATAATAATAAGTTTTATTTCTAAGCCGCCCCTCTGCTCGCCAATCGGGGCGGCGTACAGCATAGTTTAAAAACAAGATAAAAAGAACTCTACCTAGAAGCCAAATGGCCATATCAAAAAACCAATAATGCTTGAGAAGGTAGAAGGCAGTAGGAAAAGAGGAAGACCCTATTCCAGATGCAGAGACCCTATCGAAGAAGCCATGGCTGCCCTGAGTTTGCAAGAACTGAGCAGAGCTGTTGAGGATACGGTGACTTGAAGGTCTCTCATTCATTGGGTTGACTTGGGGGCACTACTAAAACTTTAAGACCCTTTTAGACTGTATGTTTTTAATTGTTGTTGTTGTGTGCCTTCAACTCATTTCTGATTTATGGCGAACCTAAGGTGAAGCTATCATGGAGGTTTTCTTGTCACATTTCTTCAGAGGGAGTTTGCCATTGCCATCCTTTGAGGCTGAGAGAGTGGGACTTGCCCAAAGTCACACAGTGGGTTTCCATAGCTATGCCAGGATTCAAACACTTGTCTCCAGAGACATAGTCCAACATTCAAACTGCTACACCACACTGGCTTTTTTGTTTTTTTAATACATTTTGCAATTTAATTTAGTCTCAAAGTAGACTTTCTGTAGGTTTTTAATTGTAATCTTTTAAAGGTGTAAGCCACCTTTAAGGTGGAAGGATTGAGATGCAAGCCAAGGGAGTCTGTTATTCAAGCATTCTCTAAATAGCCATTGAGAACAAGAAATAGCATGCAGGCAAGCAAGTGGACTGGCAGAATAGCATCTGGAATCCAAGTCCTATGAGAAACAATTGAAGGAGATGGGCATGGGTTCAAATGGTAAGAAAGGAGAATTGGATCAAACATTAGGAAATGCTTCCTGATAGAAGGAGCTTTTCGATAATGAAAGAAACTCCCTCAGAAGGTGTCAAGAAATCCCAGGTCCTCTAGGTGAATCACATCTGGCTGGATCTCATTCTATTCAACTAGAACGAGAAGTATTTTAATTGTGTAGACAAGATCATGGGCCTCCAGAATCCTAGTTAACACACAAGCTTCTACACTGCACTGGCGGTCACTGCAAGATTTCTTCAGAGGAGGTTTACTATTGCTTTCCTCTAAAGACGTTATCACACGTGGGCCACAAAGCAATAATAAAGTGGAAATGAGA